AAGTACTCTTTGGTAGTAATCCTTTCCTGAGTGATGACGCATGAATTAATTATGGATGCATGGTTTAGCCAGTAGCTCATCTTCTTACAGGAACAAGCGATCCTTGTATGCGAGGTTCTATTGGACCTGGGTATGGAGCGGCCTCCACGTATAGTCTCTCTCCTCTTTTAACTATAAAAACGTCAATATTTTAATTTAATAAAATTTAAGACTGTAAATTTAAACTCTTTGGATGAACGCAGTTTTTTCTAATCACGTATACTTCGGTTTTTAATGTTTAAGAAATGTTTTGCCTCATATATGTGGTTATCTTGCATTCCAATACACGTACAGCGTAGGCGGCTGAATCAATAATATTACTAGAGCACTCGGAGAGCACAGGACCTCCGCCAAGGCAGCTCATTCTCTCACTCTAGAATTTTATTAATTAATTAATTAATTAAATTAATTAATTGAATCCGGCATTCACGACCAAAATGTAATCAATTCTAAGTTACCCTATTTCTGACAGGTACCTACTCTGAAAATACATTATTTAGTTAATTGGATCAGGATCACCACCAAAATGTATATAATCAATTCTAAGTATACCATTCTGACCTATTCCTGAAAATGTTATTTAATTAATTATTAATTAATTGGACGGTACCACAAAATCTCATTAATTCTAAGTTAGCCCATTTCTGACCTATCCTGAAATTTCATGACATATCCCGTCCATGACTTTTTCAGCTTAGGCTGTACTACATAACCCACAAACCAACAAACAAACACACGCCGGTGAAAACATAACCTCCTGCCCTGAGAAACAATATATACATTGTTTCTCAGCTCCTGCCAACCCCTTGGCGGAGGCATAGGAATGCTTAATTCATATATATAAGTAATAATAGTTATATAATATAATATAATATAATATTGTAATTCGTAAACGATAATTAATATAAATATGTAAAACAATCATTTAAAACTAGGAAAACACGGGAAAGTCGTTACTTTATAAAATTACAAGTGAATGTATTATAGCAAAGTAAAACAGCCATACATTTTTTAACGTGTGAATTTGGCTTGGCGCCGGCGACGTTGACTATGAACCAGTGGCTTAATAATCAATGCAAACAGATCCCCGTCCCGTTTTTGTTACGCTTCCGTTTAAACACCACTTCCGGATGTTATCCTACCATTTTGATGTTTTAGATTTTAGTAGGGTGTGGTAGAGTAACGGAAATGTTCATAACTTTTAATTAATTTAACGCGTCACACTTTGAAATGTCAAAGATGTCGAGAGCGTTTAACGTTAGCCAGCAGAAGCTTGCTGAAAAGCTCAGCATTCTGTGTGACCGCGGAGTCGGTATGCTCACACGAATTTATAACATTAAAAAGGCAAGTGAACCTACCGTACCAAACCGTACAACTATTGGTTCAAGGATAGAGAACATGGGTCCCAATAAAACCAATGTCATTTACATCACAATATAAATATAATCATTATATCGAATATAATAGGTTTGTTAGGGTTAGAATTAGGGTTAGGGTTAGGGTTAGACCGAATAATTTTGTCCCATATAACCTTTTTTATATTTTGATGAGGGTTATATTGGGACAGAACAGGGTTCATTGAAATTTCGTGAGATCGCATGCAAAATGCATGCGCTGCGAATGCGGCCCGTACGCCGCTATTGGCGCGAAAAAAACCCTACGGTACCGTTCCCTTCTACATGACTTCACCTTGCTACAGATATGTGTATACATTCACTTCAATCGTTATTCACTTCTTAAAAGATTGTTTTTCAGAAACCCGCTTCATTCCACTTTTGTAAATAACATTCGCCATTTACAAACAATCAGACCAATCAGATAGAGTGTTACAATAGCCTGGTTCTCGCTTGTATCTGTGGCGCTGCAGGAGGGCTGATAGACTCGCTCTGATTGGTCTGGTTAGGGTTAGGGTTAGAATTAGGGTTAGGGTTAGGCACATTGGTTTTATTGAGACCCATGTTCTCTATCCTTGGGCCCAACTATTTACTATTCCATACTTGTTTTAGTAATAATCAGTTTGGCTTATTAAATACTCTTTTTGTACTATAGCGAATTTATGCTATAATTTAAATTATATGTAAATGCCGGTCAAATTCTTCTCTGCAACACACAGGTACACCGCACGCACGACGCACGCCGCTATACATTTACACTTATATACATATATCGCCAGCATCCAGTAGGCAGCTGTTTGAGTGGGGGTGGTGATTTCTCTTGCACGTGCAGCATACTCTACATAAAATAACACCGAGGCAACATGTGAACAGAATTCACCAAGCCCGGCTTTACAATTACATTGTGCTGACATGATGCCTGTCCCATATTCTCTCATCGTGACTCATGCACGGATAGAGAGATGATATAATCAGAGACTGGGAGTGCATAACACGTGCTCGGATAATGTAGATGGGGCTCTCACTGTTCACATGATTGATGTAGACTGATACACCACTACAGGCTTTCATTTTTAAGGGGCGCGATCGCGCTCGCGCTCCACCGCGCACCATAAATTGCGCCATAGTGCGCGCATCATCGCGCCTCATAAAAGTGGTTGAAATCGCGCACCAAAAGTCTGTGTATTATGTTGAAATAGTGCTCCATTTTACCGGGATGAGAATCTTCCGCGGATTCGCGGAAATCCGCAGATTTCACAGTCCCAGGGTCGATTTTGTGAAACGTCTAAATCCGTTGAGAGAAAATTTTAGGGGGGTTAGAATGTACAAATTTTCATTTTACAGTCCAACAGCCTACTAACAGTACCTTCATTTAATACCATTGTAATATAGTTTGCTTTACAATATAGACACGGCTTAGTTCACTGTTTGAGATTGTCAGACGTTAGCCAGTGTGTGCGTTTATTTGACGCTGCAAGTGTGTGTGGTTGTGTATGCCGCGCGTGCTAAGCAGGCCGTGTATATAGTACGCGATCGATCGATCGTGTACATCAAAAGCCGCCGCGTCACGCGTGGCCTTGAGGCTAGTTTTCCCTGCCCATAGAGTTGCAATGGATCGCGAGCCCTGACTGGAGTATCTATTCTAGCCCAACTCTTGTTTCAGTAGCCAATGAGAATGCAGCTTTCATACACCCTTCGTCGTATCTTAAAACAATGGCAGACCTTTTAAGGGTGTGATTTTTAGTGGAGCTCTGCATCATGCCTCTTAAGGGTGTGATTTTTTAATGGAGCTCTCCATCATGCCTCTTAAGGGTGTGATTTTTTAATGGAGCTCTCCATCATGCCTCTTAAGGGTGTGATTATGGAGCGTAAAAAGTCCCCCTATGGTGTTCTAGGGGCGTCATTAGTAGTCCTCCTGTACTTTTCAAATCTGAAAGCCTGCCACTAACCGAACCGCAGAACAGTCGATCGTAGGCATCCAGGCTTTTGTGGTTCTGAAAATCATTGAGAGTATAAAATGGACTCGGCTAGAATGTTAGGTAGTCAATTCACGAGATCCTAATAAGTACGTGATGGGCACAAGTTGTGGTCCTCACTCCATTCTCGTACGGGTGGCGATTCCCAATGCACGCAATTTTCTCGAGATAGCGTGCTTTGGCTATGTTGTCTAGTGAATCAAAGTACTTGCCCATCCTACACTTCAGACAGTTGGCAAATGTGCATACACCAGATATTATAAAAAGCTGCGTTTGATAGCTATATATGCAGTAAAATCGGTGGAATTTCTGAACACTCGCGATGTAAACAAACTCAAGTCCATGATATGTGTTGTGTGCAATCTCCCGATCTGCTCAATCTAGCAATCCGCCGACTGTCCGGCAAGCTCATCGAACTCTAGCATCCCAACCCACGCTAATAAACCTGCATGCAAAACCCTGCAAAACTGGACCTGTGTAATCTCATTGAACTCTAGCAGACTAGCACCCCAACCCACGCTGATAAACTTGCCTGCAACACCCTGTAAAACCGGGTCTGCACAATCATATTGAACTCTAGCACCCCAACATGCGCTGGTAAATCTGTCTGCAAAACCGGGATCCACTTACTGCTAATATAGATTACTATAATAACACTATCGTATGTACAATCTATCGATGTAAAATAGGTAGATTGCGCATATAGGTAACGTGTTCGCAATTCTGGGAACCAGTATGGCTGGCGGGATTGTAGGTAATATTGCTATTTTTAGTGCAAGTCGCGGAACCCTTTATATTCCAATTACTGGTTTCTAGCCTATCGCCACATTCCTTTCAACCATATATCTACAGCATTACTTCTTTTCCAATTTCAAAACTATTAGGTACACACACAAAAACCAAGATTTCGAAAAATAAACAATACGCTTGTTTCTTCGAGCCATGCCCCCTTGCAAGTCTATGAACAATAGAAAGTGCCACTTGCATTAATAAATTATATATAGTACAATAAGGCCACCCTTAAAAAATGGTTTGTTTCCCCTTTACCTACTCGCCTCTCAGGGTACCGAGTAGGTAGGTAGGTGAAAAATCTTTTTTATTTTGTTTTGACAAGATGTGTGTATGTATATTGTATATTCTGTTTTGTGTATATGTTTTTGCGGAACAAATTTGATTTTTGTTTTTTTGGCGAAACGAAATAATTTTTGTTTTGTTTTAATCGGCCAATAAAATGTGTCGAGTAGCGGCGTTTTGGCGAGTCGGTCGGTAAAGGGGAAACAAGCAATATTTTATCTTAGGCCTAACACAAACAAATGGCTAGTAAATATAATCTCGCGCCGATCTCTTCAGGCATGCAGCGATCCCAAGTCGAAGCCGTCGTTCCTCTCGGACAAGTCACTAGAGGGCGCCATAAAGCACGTTGTCAAAAAATTCCCCAACATCGACGTCAAGAGCAACCTGAACACGCTGAACGCCGTCAACACGATGAAGGCCGACATCGTCAAGTCGCTCGCACTCTACTACTTCACCTTCGTCGACCTTCTCGACTTCAAGGACCACGTCAGCGAGCTGCTGACGACGATGGACACGTGCCAGGTGCTCTTCAACGTGACGACGTGCTTCGACCTGACACGCAGCTACCTCGACCTCGTCTCCACCTACGCATCGCTCATGATCCTGCTCTCGCGCGTCGAGGACCGCAAGGTCGTCCTCGGCGTCTTCAACACCGCCCACGAGCTTCTCCACGGCAACAGCGACCCCAACTTCCCGCGCCTCGGCCAGCTCATCCTCGACTACGATCCGCCGATGCGGAAACTCGCGGAGGAGTTTGTGCCGCACAGCAAGCTGGTGCTGCGCGCGCTTCTCTCGCTGAAGACCGTCTACCCGCGACGGAACCTTAGCGCGAAGCAGTGGCGGTCGGCGCAGATGCTGAGCCTTGTCACGGCGCCGTCGCAGATGCTGAACCCCGCGCAGACGGAGACGATGCCGTGCGAGTATCTGTCCGTCAACAAGATGGAGAAGTGGATCGTCATCGGCTTCACGCTCTGCTACCAGCATCTCGGCACGTCGGTAAGCGCGGGGGGTCACTTCGAGTAATGGGGGTGGGGCGTTACTTCGAGTAATGGGGGTGGGGCGTACGTGGCGTCGCCGTGTGTCACCGTATGTGACGCCCCTCTCTGGCGTTGTGCCGACTTCTGGCTATGCGCCATATGTTGCCGTGTATATATTCTGGCCATATGTGGTTGTTTACCTGGACGTGGAATTCACGGAAAAATCGCTAGCGAAGAGTTATCAGTTACACGAGGCTACAATCGTCTACGTGTTACTGCATTTCACTCTCGTTGGAAGTGAGTAATTACGTTTACGTTGTAAATAACGTAGAAATAGGCACATGCTCGCCTTTTTGTTGTACTTCTCACTTACTCTTTTGTGACGACAAAGGCATTGAGCCGCGACATCTCCAAAAGTTTATATAAACATTGGTGATGATGTAACTGTTACAGGGTGCATCAGAGTTGTGGGTGCAAGCACTGAGTGGCAGCCTAGTAACGCAGGTGTTTCGTGACGAAGTAATCCACACACAGCAGTATATCATAGGTTTCTTCGAATCGTTAAAAGGTGAGTTAACGGTGATACCTGTAACAATTATCCTATAACAATTTATCACATCACATCTTTGTTCAACTATGCTTTGTCACTTTCGTAACAAAAGCAAGTGAATCCAGGTGAATGCACACTACTTATTTCATCTCGTGTTTTGCATCTCACACGTACGTGTAATACTAATAGCGTGATTCGTGACACAACCTTTGCGTCGTGCTGTTCACCAGGGCTCAGCAAGAGAGTGGCAGATGTGCGGGAGTGCTTACAGACGGCACAGCAGACGTGTGCAAACACGCATCGCGAGCGACGCAAGTTCCTTCGCACGGCACTGAAGGAGCTGGCGACGATTCTCACCGACCAACCAGGTATGACGCGCGCGCAAAACCGTCGTCCACGTAGACATCCACGCGACAAACGCAAGAGGATTAATAAAAATGCTAATTCTCCGATGCTGAGTCTATCGCCGTTTGTCTTTTTGCGAGTGCTTTCCTTCGATGTTTGTTGACGGTGATACGGGCCGACCAGCACAGCACAGACATGGCTTTGCGACATGTACGCGCCGCGTGATCAATCCGATTTTGTTATGTACGACACCATGACATGTAATGATAGATGGTAGACGATAGAGGATAGATGATAAACGGAGTTCGTCAGTGTACTGGTCGTTCAGCCACGACGTAACATATCCTCCCGCGTCTCACCGCAGGTTTACTGGGACCAAAGGCGCTGTTTGTCTTCATGGCGCTCTCATTTTCGCGGGACGAGGTCGAGTGGTTGTTGCGGCACCAGAACCACGTCATCCCGCGACAGACGAAGGGCAAGAGCAACACGGAGGACTTCATGGATCGCGCGCTGCCCGAACTGCTGTTCGGCATGGAAGAACTACGAGCGCTGGTGAGCGAGGCTGCCAGCGCCCTCTGGGTTACCAGCCAGGCGGCTCGGTGATTCTGTGACCCTGGCGGTCGGTGGTAGTCGTGTCGTCGGTTAGGGAAAAATGATACCGTCGGTTTTGTGTCACGAGTCGGATGAGTTAGGATAATCGATGGTTATGTCGACGTCTTATTTCGGACAAATTTTTACCCTTGAAGAGAATAGGATGCAGTTTCGGTGTTCTCGTCATTAGCCATGCATTGTGTCGTCCACGTACAGCAGCAGGGCTCCCTCTGGATGTTTTACAGTTTGAGCCAAGGCTTGAATAAAATCGCCACGGTGGCGGAAGGTGGCGAACGCCAGCGGTATCCCTGCAGAATGGCTGCATTGTCGTTAATGCCCCTCGTTTGCTCTTGCGCGCATGCGTGTAACTGTCATTAGCATGGTGCCCGCCTCATATTCATACAGAAGGGCTGCCTGCTCATCGTTAATGCTGCTCGTTTGCTCTCGTTGATGCTGCTCGTTTGCTCTTGAGCGCACGCGTGTAACTGTCGTTAGCATGGTGCCCGCCTCATATTCATACAGAAGGGCTGCATGTGTCGTCGTTAACGCGCCTCGTTTGTTCTCTCTCGGTGACAGGTGAAGAAGTACAACCAGGTGCTGCAGCGCTACTACGTGCAGTACCTGTCCGGCTACGATGCGGTCGTTCTTAACGAGTGCATCCAGCGACTGCCGCACGTGCCGGAGGAGGAGTCCGTCATTCTCTCGTCCTTCTACAGCACCATGACCGAGCTCGACGTGAAACAGGTGAGCGTTCCGGCGGCGGCGCCCCGCCCGGCGACGATGGTTCCGTCACGTGCCGCACGCGTGTGTTCCTGTCATGGATCCCCCTCCTCATCTCTTTCCTGCTTCCCGCTTTCCTCCTCTCTTCCATTGCGGAAGGAGTGCCCGGACTCTTGTGTGTGCAGACCCCGCCCCCTCCCTTTCCTACTTCTTCCGTTGCAGAGGCGGTGCCCCGTTGAATTCCGGTCATGGACCCCCTCCTCCTTTGCCGATCTCTTGAGTGCGCATACCCGCATCGCTCGCTGCAGGGTGTTATCCTACGCGTCGTATTAATATCATCCTTGTGAAATGTACATTACAGTTTTCTACGTCAGTTGGCTAGACAACCTTGAACCCACGTAGAAAAATTTGCGTTTGCCACCGACATTTTCACTGCTTGTTTCGACGGGAACATGCACAACACGGCGCGCCGCACGTAAATTCACCGACATCGCACATACAGTAACCATAGTAACCGCTGCGTCCTCGTCGACGCTGACCCGACTGACATCTTCGTCGTACGTACGTTGTGCAGGTGGAGGAGGGCGAGCTGTTTGACCTGCGTGGCTTCCGGCTCGACTGGTTCCGCCTGCAGGCGTACACGAGCGTCGGCAAGTCGTCAATGATGCTCGAAGACAACAAGGAGTTTGCGAAGCAGATGAACACGATCGCGTTCCACTCGAAGATGGTCGACGCCCTCGACGAGATCCTGCTAGAGACGTCAGACCTCTCCATCTTCTGCTTCTACAGGTGTGTGCGTGTTTGCGTGCGTGTGTGCGTGTGTGTGTGTGTGTGTGTGCGTGCGTGCGTGTGTGTGCACGATATAAGATTAAGACCTCTTTGGTATATGCGCGTGTGCACGTCATCACATCGTCCGTCGAACCTTCCACGTCCACACAGATCTCGTCGTATACACAACTCGCGTCGCCGCGCCCGCTAACAATCGACCATCCTTCTCTCTGCCTCCGCAGCAAACTCTTCGAGCAGCACTTCCAGATGTGCATCGAGTTTCCGCCGCAGATGCGCTACACGATCGCGTTCCCGCTCGTCTGCGCGCACTTCATGCAGTGCACGCACGAGCTGTGCCCCGAGGAGCGCAACCACATCGGCGACCGCAGCCTGTCCGTCGTCAACATGTTCCTCGACGAGATGGCGAAGGAGGCGAAGAACATCATCACGAACATCTGCGACGAGCACTGCTTGCTGTCCGACCAGCTGCTGCCGAAGAACTGCGCTCAGCAGATCGCGCTCGCCGTCAACCGGCAGAAGAAGCAGGACAAGAAGCAGCGGCCGGTGCAGCAGCCCGAGCGGCCGGGCATCGAGAGCTACCGGTAAGCGCCCCCTGTTGGCAAGCGCGACCTGAAGGGAAGCGCCCCCTGTTGGCAAGAACGACCTGTAGGTAAGCGCCCCCTGTTGGCAAGAACGACCTGTAGGTAAGCGCCCCCTGTTGGCAAGCACGACCGGTAGGTAAGCGCCCCCTGTTGGCAAGCGCGACCGGTAGGTAAGCCCCCCCTGTTGGCAAGCGCAACCTGTAGGTAAGCGCCCCCTGTTGGCAAGCGCGACCTGTAGGTAAGCGCCCCCTGTTGGCAAGTGCGACCTGTGGCAAGTGCGACCTGTAGGTAAGCGCCCCCTGTTGGCAACCGCCTCCTGTTGGCAAGGTCATCCTCGTTACGAAGTCGCCTCCTTTCTCCCGCTACCCATGCGTCCAACCTTTCTCCTAGTCATCCTTGGGCAGTTCTCCTGGGTAACCACTACACCGCTCTCTCTCCCTGCAGGAGGACACGGGAGGAGCTAACCCCGCTCTCTGCCTCCTTTCTCTCCGTAGGAAGATTCGGGAGGAGCTAACCCCGCTCTCTGCCTCCTTTCTCTCCGTAGGAAGACTCGGGAGGAGCTGACTACGATGGACCGGCAGCACATGGCTCTCACCGAACTCTGCTTCTCCATCAACTACTGCTCACCTCTTTCTTTCTCCCCGCTAACCTCGTGTCCATCCTTCATTCTCCCCGCTAACCATGTGTCCCTCCTCTCCGTAGGAAGACTCGAGAGGAGCTGACCACGATGGACCTGCAGCACATGGCTCTCACCGAACTCTGCTTCTCCATCAACTACTGCGGCGCGATCCACGTGTGGGACCACATCTTCGCGCCACGCGAGTACCTCGCGCAGCACATCGAGACTCGCTTCAACAAGGCGCTCGTCGGCATGCTCATGTACAACCCGGACACGCAGGAGATCGCGAAGCCGTCCGAGCTGCTGGGGAGCGTGCGCGCGTACATGAGCGTGCTGCAGGGGCTGGAGAACTACGTGCACGTCGACGTGACGCGCGTGTTCAACAGCGTGCTGCTGCAGCAGACGCAGCCGCAGGACTCGCACGGCGAGAAGACCATCACCGCGATGTACACGAACTGGTATCTCGACGTGCTGCTGCGGAAAGTCAGCACGGGTGAGTGGTGGCGCCTCCTGGCGGCGCCTCCGCGTGGGCGTCGTTGATTTTTTTCGCGGTCGCGAGTTCGAGAGAGAGAAATGATGGCGACGGTTTTGTTTGCACTAGCGGGTTTCATCACGCGCGATCACCGCTCGTAAAACTCGCACGTGGCGAAACCCGCGTGTGTGCTACGTCGAACGTATCGATCGGTCGAGTAGCAGCGAGCAATTCGACCGTGATGATTCCTCGTAACATTTTGTAGTTATAAATATAATTAATATTATTATGACAATATATAATCGTGATTTTCCCGCCATTGCAAAGAGAAACAAAGAGGCGTATTTCGACGTAGCGAGGTGGGGTCGGACGGGCTGGCAGATCGCAGTGAGGGTGGCAAGTCGTTCTCTCTTCCCTTTCTTCTTCGAATCGCATCTCTTTTTGCTCAAATCGCATCCAGTATGTGTCACGGTGATCACTCTGAGCTTCTGATATTCTTTCTTCATCCGTCACTGTTGCAAGCTTTCGATCTGTTCCCGCCACAGGTCAGATCATGTATTCGAAGAATCAGCGCGCGTTTGTGAGTCTCACGACGGACGAGAGGCAACTGAACTTCAACGCGGAGGAGTACTCGGACATCGTGGAACTGCGTGCGCTGTCTGAGCTCGTCGGACCTTACGGCATGAAGTACCTGAGGTGAGCTCGCCAAACCGCACATTATGCTAGTAGTCTCGAGGATGCATTTGTAGTTTGAATAAGAAAGTTGCACGTTAGCATTGGTGGTTTTATGGAATCATATGTAGTCTAACTAGGAAAGTCATTCTGTTAGAGTCCAGCTTAGTGTTAGCTCCATGTGCTTGCTCAGTTAAGTGTCCAGCTGTCTCCCGAATGCAACAAATCGCTTCTGTTAAGCGCTGTTAAAACAGTTTTGTAAACTCTTCCGTTCTGTGATGCTCGTTTGAGACGACAGACGACGAAGTTTGTCGTGCGCCACCGTAGTTTTCGAGTAAAAAACCAACGTTGAATGCATTTTTTCTCACTGCGCCGCTGCGTCATCGAGAATAAGAACGGACATTGAATGCATTCTTTCCTTCTCTCTATTTCTCAGCGAGAGCCTGATGTGGCACATAGCCAGCCAGGTGATAGAGCTGAAGAAACTCTGCATACAGAACAAGGACGTGCTCGCTGACCTGAGAACAAACTTCGACAAGCCCGAGGTGATCATGGGCCTCCACCGCCGGCTGCTCAACCTCGACAATGTACTGCAGGTACGTGGAGCTTCTGTGTGGAGGCAGGCTTAGGCATACAAACAGGCTCTGATGTAGAAACAGGCGTTGGCAGTATGGAACGTGCTTAATCCGTGTTTTATCCGTTTATTCTAGTTCGTAGCGAGTTGGTTGCGAGAAACGGATGATAATTAAATCCGGCTAAAAAATATTGCTGCCCGTTTGTTTTTCTCTCTCGATCGACTTGCCGACACGATGCGAACGAGGCTGTAAAGCAGAGTTTGGTGTCCTTCTTTCTATTAGACGTAGGGAGAATTAGCAGTTTGGTGTTCTTCTATCCATGGATGGGAATCGAATCCAACTAAAAATGTCCCCGTTTTTTTTCTTGATCGCCGTGCCGACGGGACGCGCGTGCAGCGGATGACGATCATCGGCGTGATCCTCTGCTTCCGGCAGCTGGCGCAGGAAGCCCTGCACGACGTGCTGCAGGACCGCATCCCGTTCCTGCTCTCGTCGATCCGCGACTTCCACCACCACGTGCCGAGCGAGCAGGACACGCAGCTGCTCGCGAACATTCGCACGCAGATCGTAAACGAGATGGCGACTGCCGCCGGGCTGCCGGCCAAGGTCGACCCCGCGCTCTGTACCGCCCTCAGGGCACAGAAGATGGGTGAGTGGTTATGGGTGGAAACCGGAAATCATCCCTATATAAACATACAGGAGATACGGAAGCTGAATAGGCGATGTGGGTGGCACAAAAAACAAAAAATGTTTGTACTACTTTTTGCTCTCACTCCTAGCTACAATGCAGAAGATGGGTGGACGACATGGTTTGGGGAGGGGAGCGTCACTGCCTTTGATTACAGGGTGAAATTCGCACAGGAGCGGGAAAGTACGGTCGATTCAGGGCACCGTGTACGTTTGGCCTCTATATCGCCAAACCTGTCTATGTCTTATTCGTCTTCTCAACTCCCTGCCGATTTACAACAATGCTCCTCCCTCGCGAACGAACCGGAACGATTTTCCGTCAACTCAAGCGTTCGCTTGTTTCTCGCACGCAGAGGGCATCTCGCCGGACGAGGACTACCAGATCTCCTGCCTCCTCATGGTGTTCGTCGCCATAGCGATACCGAAGCTTGCTCGCAGCGATGCGTCGACGTACAAGGCTACGCTCGAGGGACACCTCAACAACAGCCACTGCCTCGCGCAGGCCATCAACCACATCGCGGCCGCCATGTTCACAAACTGCGGCCTGGGAGACATCGAGGAGAGGTGAGGGGCAGGACGCGTGGTCTGTGACACACGACGATGTCACTATGATGACGCATGAATGACGCTGTCGCGTGGTCTTTAGTGATCAGACTCGTGGTCTGTGACACACGACGATGTCACTATGATGACGCATGAATGACGCTGTCGCGTGGTCTTTAGTGATCAGACTCGTGGTCTGTGACACACGCGACGATGTCACTATGATAACGCATGAATGACGCGGTCTCGTGGTCTTTAGTGATCAGACTCGTGGTCTGTGACACACGCGACGATGTCACTATGATAACGCATGAATGACGCGGTCTCGTGGTCTTTAGTGATCAGACTCGTGGTCTGTGACA